ATGGTGTGTGTCCAGTGGATGGACATTAATGGTCTCCCATCATGTATACAGTGACAGTGGGCATAGGAATTGTGCTCCATCATTAGTAACAATCAGTGGGAGCGAATAGCTTTATTCCAATCCCCACATTGGTGTCTCAGTGATTTGAGGACACTAAGACATGCCCCTATCAGGTATAACTAGTGCATGGGACACTATGCGCTCCACGTGACACCATATGGTGATGGGAGGACACTATGTCCTCCCCACTGTAGAGCCCAATGATTGGATGGCAATATTAGCTCCAACTACACCAATGATGTCAGTGTGGGAGAGGATAGAGCCTCCACAGGTTTGTACTCATGATGGTGAGCTGCTATTTCTATCCCAGACGTGATACCAATGATTGGTGTCAGTGGGGGTGTTGTAATCCTCGCCACTGACACCAATGATGGGACACTATTCACTCCCCTGATGCTCCCATCAATGGTGTCAGGCAGTGGGACTATTGTGCCCCATCGCACTGATATACTCAATAATGTGGGAGTGCATCTATTTCACTTCTCCACTCAGATACCGCAATGGGTGTCAGTGGGGCAACTAGATTACTCGCTCTGATTGCACAGTTATGTCAGTGGGGGCGGCGTAAAATTCAGCTCCACTGTGTACTTAGTGTCATGGTGAGAAACCAGCACCTTGGTTATTCATCCTGATGTCAGTTGAGTGGAATAGCGCCCGATCAGCTCATTAGTGTCTGATATGTGGCTAGGATACTTGCGCCCGCCATCATTGGTATCAGTGGCTAGGAATAAGCAGTCCCACATCTCATTTATGTCACCCAGTCAGTGGAAGGATATAGTGCCCCATCCGTTGGTGTCAGTGAGCCGCCTGGGAAGAATTAGTGCCCCACTCTGTTGTGTGTCAGTGTCCGCGGAGGACCGAGGAATAGTTGCCATCACCGTTGGGTGTCATGTCCATCCCCCCCCCCCAACCACCCCCACACACATCCCCCCGCCCACCCCCCGCTCATCAGTCGGGGGATCTTGCTTTCGCTCCCGTGAGCCACGCACGCGCTCGATGTTTGTGTGTCCTAGTGCTCGATCTGAGTGATGTGTTCCACGCATGTGTGTTGTCAGCATAGATTGTGTTTGTCCCCCTCTCGGCTGCTCTCGCCAACTCGTAGTAATGTAGAGGTTATTTCGCTGGGCTGCGCGGTGTACATCTCACGGAACGATTGGACGTCGTACAGCGCATACTCCTGAGGTACTCAGCTCTGACGATGCCGCAGTCTCGGGCGATCACCCGCGGTGAGGGGATGGCGGAGCTTCCGAGGGCGAAACTTCGCGATGCATCAGTTGTGAGAGGGTATCGAGGGTAGAATGTAAGGGTGAAATGTGGCGTGTTTCGCTGGAACAGGATACACTGGACCCTTCAGGTCGTATTTGGTTGGAACCGTGCGATAAACATAGTTAGTGCTCGGGAAACATGCTCAGCCGGGGATTGCCTGGTTCTCGACGTAGGTGGTGAGATGTCCTCGTGTACGATGTCGTCGCCTGAGGGGTAAAGTCGTAGGGTTTAGTCGCCCCCCTCAGGATAAAAATTTAGTGCATGTGTTTTTTATGTTGTACACTGGGAGTGGCGGGTTTTAGGTTGGGGCGAAGTCATAGTAAGGTGAGACCCATGCAAGTTTAAAGGGTGGCTCGTGAAGATGTTTCGATGCTGTATAGAGGAAGTCATGGAGTTTACACGCATAAGAGTAAAGTTTAAAGGGGGTTTTAAGTATACGGTAGGCAGCTTTACGATTGGTTTTGAACAGGGGTTGTATTTTTGTATCAATCTTGTGACCAGCAATATTGTGGTGACAGTCTTGGGGGTCAATAGTTCAGGCTAAATAGTGGGGCACGGGTCGGTAGGGTTTAATATTGGTGAAGCAAGTGCATGTGATAGATTGCATGGGCTATTGGTATTATTTATCCTGTATTAGTCTAGATTTTACGAATCAGTTGCTTCATTCGATATGTCGCTTGTCGTACTGTTCTGGAACGCCCAATGCTTGTTAGTGACTAAAGCACTTTGGGAACTCTGAAGTAGGTTAAATCTCTTTGCAGACTAGAGGGCCATGGCGACTTGTTTGATACATGGGGTGCGACATTTGAATCCTAAAGTCTTCTATACCAGTGCTCAATTTTTTTTTTTGTAATTGAAATGTGTTTATTGAGCGCATTTGTATTGCGTCTTTACAAATCTTTTATTCGGTTCACTCATGCATCCAAGATAGAATCTGTGTCTTTCTTCCGTTTGTTCTGTGCTGTATTTATCTCTGAGAGAAGTAGTGCATGTACATTTCAGCATCTAGGTGGTACATGCTCCCACTGACATGATTGCACCTGGTTTGGAGTAGATCTTATCCATTCTTCTGGTGTCTGTCATAGTTGTATTTTGTTTGTAGACCTGTGTTAGATTTAAGTTTGTATATCTAGGGACACAAGATAGTACCTCATCAATGCAGTTTGCTCGTTAACAATGGAATGCTGGAGATTTCGAATAGGGAGTGATCCAGCAGGATTCTGGATTTACGTAAATAGATTGAGATTTTCGCATGTTCTGGTGATTTAAATGTTGGTGTCCGAATAAAGTTGAATGTGGTATCGGAGGTACCGGTTATTAAGTGAATTTCGGGGTCGGGGAGATGCCGGATATATAGTGAAATGCGCTAAGGGATCCGAAGGAGAGCATGGACTCCTATAGTGATATGCGGGGTCGAGGGAGACGTATTGGTTATAGTGAATTTGCGGGGTCTGGGGGAGTGAGCGGGATATAGTGAAGTAGGCAGGGTCTCGGGGTGAATGCAGAGCTTGATATAGTGAGATGCCTAAAAGGGGTCGCTGGGAACCGAGAGCGGACTAGTAGTGGAATGCAGGTTTTCGGGGGGGAGAGGCATGGTTTTATAGTGAATGCGGGGGATCGAGCGCCAGACTGAGAGCGGATAATAGATAGTGACATGCTGGGGTCTGGGGATGGTTGGAGAGCGGATATAGTGAGATATGTCATGTATTGTCTGGGTGGAGAGGGGGGTGCTGAGGGGAGAGTGGATTATAGTGAATGTGCAGGGTACGGTGTGAGAGACACAGTTAGATATAGTTGAATGCAGGGTTTCGATGGCGCAGATGAGAGGATTATAGTTGAATGCAGGGATCCAGGGTAGGAGGAATTTAGAGGAATGCGGTGGTAGGGGAGACGAGATGTATATAGTGAATGCGGGGTTCCGGGAGAGAGAGCGACTAGAGTATAGTGAATGCATGGCGTACCGGGGCGAGAGCGAATAGTTAATGTGAATGACGAGTAGGTCGGCGGGAGCCAGGGAATAAGAGAATGCGGGCGATATTAGTGCCATGAGTTTTCCGGTTAGGAGCAGAGAGCGGATATAGTGATATGCGGGTCCGGCTATGGGAGCAGCGGCTTCTATAGTGAGATGCGGGGTGTTCCGGGGGGGCGTTGAGAGCGTAGATATAGTGAAATGCAAGGGTCCGGGGAGTGAGTACCAGATATAGTGAAATGCAGGTCCGGGGTCCAGATATACGTTATTGCGGGGTAGAGAAGACTGGATATAGTGAATGCGGGGTGTTCCGTGCGAGAGCGGATTTAGTGAATGCGTGGGTGTCCGGGTGACTATGAGCGGATATAGTGTGAATGCGGGGTCCGACTCCGGGGAGAGCGGATATAGTGAATGCGGGGTCGAGGGACATATGAGACCGGATATAGTGAATGCGGGGTCAACACCAGGGTGAAGCTGAGAGAGGATATAGTGATGCGGGTCCAAGGAGAGCTTGATTATAGTGATATTGCGAGGGTCCGGGACGGAGCGGGATATAAGTGAGTATGTGGGGCTCCAAGAAGGAGCGGTTATAGTGAATGCGGGTCAGTGCGGATGAGAGCGGATTATAAGTGAATGCGGGGTTCCGGGGTAGAGCGGATATAGTGAATGAGGCGGTACCTGCGGAGAAGCGGATATAGTGAATGCGGGGTCCTCGGGGACTAGCGGATATAGTGAATGCAGGGTAATTCCGGGGACGAGCGCAGAAGATTAGTGAAAGTGTGCACGGTCCGGTCGGAAGAGAGCGGAGTATAGTGAATGCGTGGGTCCGGGGAGATGACAGATATATAGTGAATGCAAGGGTTCTGTGGAGGGGAGATCGGAGCGGGGGATTATAGTGAATGCGGGGTCGGGGAGAGACCAGAGAGGCAGATAGTGTGAATGCAGGGTCCGGGAGAGAGTCCGGATATATAGTGAATGCAGGGTCGGGGAGATGAGAGCGGATATAGTGAGTGCTGGAGGTCCGGGGAGAGCGGATATAGTGAATGCGGGGTCCGGATTGGGAGACGAGGATTTAGTGAATGCGGGTCCGGGGACGAGGGGGGATATTTTTTAGTGAATGCGGGGTCCGGGGGAGAGCGGATATAGTGAATGCAGGGGTCCGGGGAGAGAGCGACACGAATTAGGTGTAGCGGAGAGGGTATCGTGAATGTAGGGGGAGAGCGGATATAGTGAATGCGGGGTCAGCGGGGAGATTACGGATATAGTGAATGCGGTGGTCTCCGGGTGAGAGAACAGATATAGTGAATGCGGGGTCTGGGGAGAGCGGATATAGTGAATGGCCAGGGTCCGGGCTACGAGAGCGGATATAGTGAATGCGGGTGGTCGGGGAGAGCTGGAATTACTATAGTGAATGCGGGGTCGGGGACGAGATGAGAGCAGATATAGTGAATGCGGGGTCCGGGGAGAGCGGATATAGTGATTGCGGGTAGAGAGAGCGGATATTTAGTGAATGCGGGGTCCTGGGGAGAGCGGATATAGGTGAATGCGGGGTCCACGGGAGAGAGACACAGATATATAGTGAATGCACGGTGGGCCGGAGAGAGACCGGATATAGTGAAATGCAGGGTCAGGGGCGTATGAGACCGCGGAATATAGTGAATGCGGGGTGCAGGGGAGGGGAGAGAGTCCGGATATAGTGAATGCAAATGCAGGGTCCGGGGAGAGACGGATATAGTGAATGCGGGTCCGGGGAGTGAGCGGATATAGTGAATGCGGGGTCCCGGGGAGAGCGAGATATAGTGAATGCAGGGTCCGAGGGGTCGAGAAACGGATATAGTGAATGCAGGGTCCGGGCTGAGAGCGGATAGATATGTGAATGCGGGGTCCGGGGAGAGCGGATATAGTGAAATGCAGGGGTCCGGGGGTAGAGACCAGATATAGTGAATGCGGGTCCGGGGACGAGCGCAGATATAGTGAATGCGGGGTCCGGGGAGAGAGCAGGATATAGTGAATGCAGGGGTTCGGGCGAGACCAGATATAGTGAACTGCAGGGTATCCGTGGGAGAGGGAGAAGGATAGTGAAATGCGGGGTCCGGGGAGAGCCAGGATTTAGTGAATGCGGGTGTCCGGGGGCTGGAGAGTGGATATATAGTGAATGCGGGGGAGGGTCCGGCTGGAGAGCGGATTATAGTGAAATGCAGGGGTTCCGCAACAGGAGAGACGGATATAGTGAATGCGGGGTCCGGGGAGAGCTGCCAGATATAGTGAGGATCCGGCGGTCGGGAAGAGGGGAGAGGATAATAGTGAATGCAGGGTGACCGGAGCCCCAGAGACGGATATAGTGAATGCAGGGTCCGGGGAGACGGAATTATAGTGAATGCAGGGTCCGGGGAGACCGGATATAGTGAATGCGGGGTCCGGGGAGACCAGGATATAGTGAATGCAGGGGTCGGGGGAGAGCGGATATAGTGAATGCTAGGTCGTCCGGGGAGAGGCGGGATATAGTGAAATGCAGGGTGTTCCGGGCAGAGAGTAGAGCGCCGGGAGATATAGTGAATGCGGGGTCTGGGAGAGACCAGGATATAGTGAATGCAGGGTCCCCGGGGAGAGACCAGATATAGTGAATGCAGGGTCCGAGGTTCGAGTCTAGCAGATATAGTGAATGCTGCGGGTCAATCCGGGGAGACGCGGATATAGTGAATGCTAGGGTCCCGGGGAGATCGGAGCGGATATAGTGAATGCAGGGTGTCCCTGAGGGAGTCGCGATATAGTGAGATGCGGGGTCTACGGCGGGAAGAGAGCTGGAGGATATAGTGAAATTGCGTGGGTCCGGGGTAGATGACCAGATATAGTGAATGCGGGGTCCGGGGAGGGCGGATATAGTGATTGAAATGTAGGGGCGTCCCGGGGGGGAGGTGAAAAGGATTATAGTGAATGCGGGGTCGAGGGACTGGCGACCGATCATAGTGAAATGCAGGGTCCGGTCCGGGATATTGAAGTGTCAGGTGCCGGCAGATCGGATTATGTGAGTGCATGCTGTGGACGGGGATTCCGGAAGGCAGTCGGGGAGAGCGGAGTATAGTTTGAATTGCAGGGGATTTCCGAGGAGATTTCTAGGATATAGTGAATGCGGGGTCCGGGGAGACCGTGTGATTATAGTGAATGCAGTGCGGGTGTACCGGGGAGACCGGATATAGTAGTGAATGCGGGGTCCACGGGAGAGACCATGTATAGTGAATTGCTCGAGGGTCCCGGGTGTAGAGTGCAGGATATAGTGAATATGCAGGTGTCCGGGGACTGAGCGGTTATAGTGAACTGCGGGGTCTCTGGGAGGGAGCGGATATAGTGAATGCAGGGTCCGGGGAGAACGGATATTAGTGAATGCCGGGGTCCAGGATATAGTGAGAAGAGAGTATAGTAGTGAATGCAGGGGTCCGGGATGAGTCGGATATAGTGAATGCGGGGTCCGGGGAGAGCGGTATATAGTGCTATGCTCATGGGTCCGGGTCCGGGAGGAGGCGGGATATAGTGAATTGCGGGTCCGGGGAGACGGATATAGTGAATGGCGGGTCTGTGTTTGCAGGTGCCGGGGAGAGCGGATATAGTGAATGCACGGGTCCCCCCCCCTCGAAAGAGCGGGATATAGTGTGAATTGCTAGGGTCCATGGGAGACCGAGCTCTAGTGTGGTACACTCGGGGGCCGGGAGTCCCATTGGGAATGCTCAAGTGGGGAGACGTCCCCAGTGATAGTGAACTGCGAGTCGGTCCGATGGGTAGATCGAGGGATATAGTGGAATTGCAGGGGGATCGGGCCCCCCCCGAGAAACAGATATAGTGTTGGGCATGCACCCCCCCTGGGTCCCGGGGAGAGCGGATATAGTGAATGCGGCAGGGTCCCCCCGGGAGATCCGAGATAGTGTAATGCACGCGGGGACAGACCGACCTAGTGTCCGCCTGCAGGGGCCAGGGAGAACCGGATATAGTGAATGCTGCAGGGTCCCCGGGGCAGAGCGGATGCGATAGTGACCCCCCCCCATGCTCGGGGCCTCCGGGGCGAGAGTGGATATAGTGAATGCAGGGTCCGGGGACTGAGAGCGATTATAGTGAATGGGGTCCGTGAGGCTCGCTGCGGGTAAGTCGGGTCCTGAGGACGCAGATATAGTGAATGCGGGGTTCCGGGGAGAACGGATATAGTGAGATGCGGTGGTCGATGGTGAGAGCGGATATAGTGAATGCCGCAGGGTCCGGGGGATGGACCGGATATAGTGAATGCAGGGTCGTCCTGGGAGAGCCCCCGATATACAAGTGAATGCAGGGGGCCGGGGAATAGTATATAGGAGCGGGAGTACCGGTGTGTGTAAGTCGAATGCGGGGTCCGGGGAGCCAGAATATAGTGAATGCAGGGGGTCCGGGGAGGATCGTGATATAGTGAATGCGAGGAGACGTACCTTTAGAATGGAGTAGCGGATATAGTGAATGCAGGGTCCGGGGACATGAATGCGATCCAGATATATAGTGAATGCAGGGTTCAGGGGAGAGATGACCGAGTTATAGTGAATGCTTTTTATTGGGGTCCGGGTGGCTGAGAGAGCGGATATAGTTGATATGCGGGGTCCGTGGGGTCTGATTGAGATTGCTGGACCCCTAGTGATTGGTGCGGATTTCTGGGTTTCTCGGGGAAAGAGGACAGAGATATAGTGAATGCGAGGTCCGGACCGGGAGACCGATCTAGTGAAAGCAGGGATCCGGGGAGACCAGATATATGTGAATTGCAGGGTCCGGGGTAGACTGTGATATAGTGAATGCACGGTGGGGTCCGGGAGAGGATTAGATATAGTGATCATGCAAAAGGGTCCTGGAGGAGACCAGATATAGTGAATGCAATGTCGTTGCTTTCCGGGTGTTGAGAGCCGATATAGTTGAATGCTGGGTCCGGGGAAGACCGGATATAGTGAATGACAGGTTTCCATTTTTAGATCTATATTTGTGAATATTGCAGGGTCCTGGGAGACCAGAATATAGTGCAAATGCGGTGTTTAGGGTCCGGGGTGATGTAGAGCTGGATATAGTGAATGCAGGGGTCCGGGGAGACCAGATATACCCCCCCCCCCCTGAATGCGGGTCCTGGGGAGAGCGGATTATAGTGAATGCAGGGTCTGCGGGAGACATGAGTCCGGATAGAAACAGATAGTGAATGCGGGTCCTCGGGGAGAGACGGATATAGTGAATGCTGGGGTCCGGGAAGAGTGGATATAGTGAATGCGGGGTCCGGGAGAGCGGATATAAGTGATGCAGGGTCCGGGGAGAGCGGATATAGTGAATGCGGGGTCCGGGGAAGGAGACAGATATAGTGAATGCGGGGGTACCGGCGAGACCGGACTATAGTGTGAATGCGGGGTCCGGGGAGACCGGATATAGTGAATGCAGGGTCGGGGAGAGCGGGATATAGTGAATGCAGGGTACCGGGGATACGGAGTGCGGATATAGTGAATGCAGGGTCCGGGAGAGACCAGATATAGTGAACTGCTAAGGGTCGGAGGGAGAAACGAGAACCTGTGATATAGTGGAATGCGAGGTCCGGTCCGGGGAGAGAATGCTGGGGTCGGGGAGACCGTATATGTGAATGCAGGGGGTGACCGGGGAGGTCAAGATATAGTGAATGCAGGGTCGGTGGCTGCTGAGCGCGGGCATATAAGGTGAAATGCGGGGTGTGCACGGGAGAGACTCCATGATTATATGTGATATGGCGGTGGTCGGTCGAGAGGGATCTAGTGAATGCGGGGTACGGGAAGAGCGGATATAGTGAATGAGGGACCGGGGATTGACGCGGATATGTGAATGCAGGGTCCGGGGAGAGCGGTATCAGTTGAATGCAGGGGTACGGGCTTGGAGACACAGATATAGTGAAGCAGGCGTCCGGGGAGATGCGGAGTTATAGTGAATGTTGGGCGTCCGGGGAGTGAACCAGATTATAGTGAATGCGGGGTCGGTGGTGTAAACAGATATGAGTGAGTTGCGGGTCCGGGAGGAATCGCCAGATATAGTTGAATGCGGGGTCCGGGTGAGACCAGATATAGTGGACCTGTACAGGGTATTGTGGGAATTCAGATATTCGTGAATGCGGGGATCCGGGGAGGGTGGTGTTATAGTGGATACTGCGGGGTGCCGGGGAGAGGTAGTGATATATAGTGAGATGTGCTGGGATGTCCGGGGAGACCGAGTATATAGTGGAATTGCAGGGGTGCCGGGTGTGGGAGAGCGGATAGATAGTGAGCTATGCATAGGGGTGTGTTCTATGTTTAGTTACCACTCTTTAAGCTTTGACAATAACCTGGAAGCGCGAATTGGTTTCTATACAAATAGTGTGCGCCAAACGTTTTTGCTCCCCTCCACTGATTAAGGCTAATATAACCTCCTTTCGCCTCCCTCCAGGTCTGTAAAATGCATTGGAAATAAGAAAAGTGTTAGTATTATTGGTTGAAATAATGAGACCTGTATACCATGAAACTCACACTAATCTGGTGTTGTGTTTTGGTTTTTTGTACTACACTTTTATAGGAATCTGATCTAGTAATTGGTGGCAGTCATTGTACTATTGACAGCTCTTAATCATCAAATCAGAGTGATAGCCATCAAACCAGTAGGTACAGAATGTACAGTTTGAATGCTGTTGTCATGACTATGATCTGACTTCTGGATGACACACCTTGCGCATCGTCATTCTGTGGATACTACAACCCATCGACAGCTTCAATACAAAAGATGAAGTTACGATAAAAAAGTGAGAGTAAGGAAAATGAATGAACCTTGTCAATAGAATGTTCTGGAGGATCACTGGAGAGGAATGCCATGATTATGATTGTATTGTTCAGTCATGTAGTTAAAGAACATAGAGAACTTTGTTTATTTTTAAAAAAAAAAAAACACTTGTGTATTGTCATTTTGGAGCCAGTGAAGTTCTGAGTTTGTTCAGATAAGTTACCCGTGTATGCGTTCTGCTAAAGAGATTGACCTTTTGTTTACTGAGCTCAGTAGCTCAAGGAGGATATTTACACATGCCAATGTTGAATGACCCCATCGTAGTAACTCCACCCCTTATCAGATGGCTGATGAGATTTCAATGAGAGTCGCTGGTCCCAAAAGGAGAATGTGACAACCAGCAAACACTCGCGGGATGGACCCAATTGTATGGTGTCGCCATAAGAGTTTTAGTATGATTTACGTATATCACATAGTTACAGGAAGCGCAATGTTTTGGACGTCAGTCTCGCAGGACCCGCACTCAGCGAGCTTGTATGAGGGGTTCCTGTGAAGTACTGCCGTTACAGTTCTGCTCTTGCTAGTTAAACTATGTCGATCGTGTCATTCAAATCTTTTGGACTCACATATTGGTATGGGCATCACCTCCGGTTTGCTGTGGTGTTCATTCTGTCCTTGCTGGATTTCTGTCTCGGTCCAGACTGACGCGGTCGGCTT